CTTTGTCCGAGTAGGTTCGCACTATAAAAACATAGGCCTTGACCTTGGGCACCGTACAAGGCAACCTTGGTACAAGGCAACGTTGGTACAAGACAACGTTAGGTACAAGGTGCGTCAAAGAACTCGGCAAGCTTCGCTTCGCAAACACGGTCCTCGTCGTCGTAGTCCGAGCTGCTGGTGTTGTCGCTCTCTGTTAGCTTCGCCAGCAGCACTGGCGGTGCCACCACTAACATTAAACGTATTCGTTTCAACGACATTTCACCTCAATTCGGGGAGCACAACACAACGGTGACGGCGTCGAGACTGACGGCTGTTTTTCGCAGCCCTCTTTTTGCGGAGTAGCTGCGTTCTCGCCGTCCGCTTCCGACACAAAAGCAAAATGGCGGAATGGCTGGAGTCACGTGACCGGTCGGCAGCCAGATCTCTCGCGCGCTCCCACTTCCAAGTCAGAGCGCTTCATACTGCTCCGATTCGAAGGCCGGCGAGAGTCGGAGCTTCGAGAGCGCTCCGAAAGAACCCGGCGAATTTGATTGGAGCGCCTGGCATCGACCAGCCGAACGCACACCAGATTTTCAGTGCGCTCCAAGAGGCCGAAAAACGACCAGCCGAATATACAATAAAACAATCTCGGACTTCAGTATGTGCCGTTTCGTTCCATTATAAAATATGATAGAAAAAAAAAAAAAACTGCTTCCGAGTTTTAGATATCCCTTTCAGATATCTAATGTTCGGCCCTTGCGACCAAGGAAAATGGGCAATTCATTTAAAATGCTCACCATCCGACAAACCGAAAGTCGCAGCTAATTCTACGCTGAAACAATTTGCAATCCGCTTCTTTAAAGTCGCAATTGTTTTTATGTAAAGGAAGGGTATGGTAGCTTGTAACCTCCAATACATTGAAGCATCATGTTGCTAACAATCGTGCCGCAGCGTAATTGATGCCGCGGTACGACCGCTGGCAGGTCGTAGCTGTATCAGAAATCCTATGTGCACTCCACCAAAGCGGCCACCAAAGATTCATATTTTCGCGCGTGCGGCCGCACATGCGCACACCTTCTAGATAACGCGCCGGTGTCGACACCTGTCGCGATCAATACCACGCGCTTCAGGCGAGCCCCTCCGGTCTCAACATTACCCAATTATTCTAGTACAGTGTAGTAGCACTGATTGAGTGATTGAAACGTTTATAATGTGAACTAGGGTGCCTCAATGTCCCTCTGTTTAGGGTGATGCCACCCTTTGTAGTACCAGATGCCGACAGCACGCGCTCACTGGCAAAATACAAAGAAATCGACGAAAACAAAATGTCGCCATGGCACAGTCAGCGCTACAAGCGCGTGCAGGGACACTCTCTGTCACGCGCTTCTGAACAAAAAATAAAAATAAACATGTGTGACAAAATGGCGAGATGCCACCACCCTAAGCAAAGCGCACATGAAGGCACCCTAATGTGAACCATACTCTGTGTAGTAGCGCTGCTAGATAGATAGAAAAATCGTTTTTATTAGAAAGAAAGTCACGTGGCTGAAGCCGATAGCCTTCCAGGAAAGGGAAATTAAGGGGTAACTAGGTCAGAGGAACTTTCTGATTCCTGTCGTCGCAATGAAGTCTAGTAGGCTCTTGACTAGACCTCTATTGCGATCGCTCTCTTCAAAGTTAAAGACTGGTTGGCACCAGTCCCTAAAGTCCTTGATTTTGTTTTGCTTGATGTGCCTTGCTCTTGCCCTCTCCCATGTTGGGCAGTCCCAAATGAGGTTTTCTAGTCCTGCTGGTCCAGTAAACCCACAGGATGTGCATTCACTAGATTTAATAATGCCTTTCCTGTGGAGAGTTTCAGGCGTGTTTGCAGCTTCCGAGATGATTCTTCTCAGACATACTCTTTGCCATCTGCTGAGTCTCATATTTGGAAGGGCGGGGGCCCACAAGGCCGCCACCAAACGCCTAACCGTTCCCGGGGACGCTCCGGCACCTGATGCACATTTACTCACCCTTTAGAACCGCCGCATACGCCTGTTGGCTCGCTACCGCCGATCTGGTAGACCACGTCGGCTCCTCAGGGTTTTGCGCCAGGTGCAAGACACCATCTCGAGATACACATCGGAACTGGCTTCTGACCGCTGGACCTCCATGTGCAGCTCCGTTTCCGGTAATACCAATCTCTCCAAAGTATGGAGGCTTCTGCGCTTTCTCCTTGGAGACCGCAAACCTAGACAACCTGCCGCTGCCGTTGCCCTCCGCAAAGGTGTTTCTTTCGAGGAGCTAGCGGAAAGAGCGTCTGATGTCTTTTTTCCACAACCATGTCGGCATGACCCTGGGTGCTACACTCGTATTCACCCTGTTCCCGAGCCCATCGGCTTGGATTCCCCGTTCACCCTCCACGAACTTGAGGCCGCCCTGGATAGGGCAAACACACACAGTGCACCAGGTCCTGACAACATCACCGTCGGGCAACTTCGCAACCTTCCCACCGCCCTAAAAGAGACCGTACTGACGGAGATCAACCTGGTGTGGGATTCTGGGTGCGTCCCTTCCGAGTGGCGTCACTCGACGGTATGTCCTATTCCGAAGCCCGGCAAACCACCTACGTCTCTCACAAAGCTACGCCCAGTATCCCTCACATCATGTCTCTGCAAAACAGTTGAGAGCATGCTGAACGCCCGTCTGCAGTGGTGGCTTGAGTCCAACCAGCTGCTCAGCCCATCGCAATACTGGTTCCGCCCTGGACTCTCCACTCAGGACGTCATGAGCCGCCTCCAGCACGATACGCTATCTACATCATCACCGCATCTTCGTATTGTGGCAGGGGTCGACGTGCGCAAGGCGTTTGACAGCGTCCCGCACTCCTCCGTCCTCTCAATGGCACAACAGCTAGGCATCACCGGTCGGGCATACAACTTCATCGCGGCGTTCCTCGAAGATCGCACTTTCACTGTTCACGTCGGCTCATCCCACGGAATCACTCATACAAACCGAGTGGGCGTTCCACAAGGGTCCGTTCTTTCTCCGTTACTTTTCAATATCGTCCTTGCTGGCCTTCCTTCCCGCCTTAGTGAGGTGCCTGACCTCGAACATGCAATCTACGCCGACGATATTACGTTGTGGACCCACTCTGGCTCACCCGGTTACCAACAGGATGCCATTCAAGCTGGGCTCGACATCATTCACGACTACATCCAGTCTGTTGGCCTCGCTCCCGCTCCCGACAAGACGGAGTTCGTCGTTATTCATGGCGGTCGTCGCACACCAGCAAAAGCAGAAAAACAGTGCATTCAGCTCACGCTCGCAGGTACTCCCATCTCACGCCGCACGAGCATCCGGATTCTTGGTTTTCACCTCGACCAAGACAGCCGGGCGGCGACTTGGTTTCAGCGTACCATCAGCACCTCGAAACAGCTGAACCACCTGTTATGCAGGGTAGCCCACCGCTCCCGCGGGGTGCACGAACATGATCTCCGTATCTTTGCTAGGGCCTTCGTGGTGTCCCGCATTATGTACGGCTATCCGTACTACCACCTTACCCGCACCCAAAAACTGAGGCTCGAAATAATTAATCGGGAACTGCAACGAATTGTCACCGGCCTTCCGAGATACACACGAATCGATGCGCTCACCAGCTGCAGCCAGATGAACAGCCTTGACGACCTGGCCTCCACCCAGATCGCAACTCAAGAAACTCGACTCCGAGCCACTGTAGCGGGGCGCTTCACACTGCGTAAGCTAGGTTACAACATCGACCACCTCCTACCTTTACCCACCCCACCCCCGCCATGGGAGCTCTGCCCTCTCACAGCACCCCGTCCCCTCCCTCGGAACATGGGTGAAAAAGCGCAAGCCCGCCGCAGCGACTTTGTTCGCCGACATCTCCACTCTCTCCTTGTTCGCTCTTCATCGGCTCTAGTTTTCTACGCGGACGCGGCTGTGGACAATAACTCCACTCCAATCTTCAGCACGGCATGGTGCGATGTCGACGGTCATCGACGCGGTACACAAGTTTTCATGACCCCCTGCTCCTCTAGTCACGCTGAACTTTGTGCTATACTGCACTGCTTAACCTCCGTTAACACTTTAACCCTGGTACCCTCCTCCAGAATCGTAATATATACAGATTCTCAAGAAGCCATCCGTGCTCTCCGCCACTCATCTCCATCATCTGTCATCGCTATTCAGATTCATCGCGCAGCAATTTCTATCCGGACAGCCGGCCACCATCCCCTCATCGACTGGGTGCCCGCCCACAGCGGCATTCCCGGCAATGAAAGGGCTCACCGACTTGCGCGCGCTAAACTTCTCTCCGCGCGAGCCGGGGCCCCTACTTTTCCTACGCCACCGGAGCTCACACCTGGCTCCTTTCACGATTCACACGAAGCCCGGCAGGAGCACGCCAGCCGATGGCGTCATTACCTTACTCAGGCTAACCCCCTTTACTTCCCCTCTCTTTCCCACCTTCCTCTCACTCGCCACGAGACCTCCCTTCTACAGCAAGCCAGGTCAGGAGCGCTCCTCGCTCCCTCCCTGCTTGCAAAGATGTATCCCCAGATCCACATCAACCCTCAGTGTACCCACTGCCACATTCCTGCTAGTCTCCCCCATCTTTTGTGGGACTGCCCGCTCCACTCAAGAGCCCGCGTTCGCGCGCTCTCAACCCTCTCACCTCCCCCCTCCACTCTTACTGAGTGGCTCAACCCCCCATCCGCTCCTGACCCTGGTCGTGTCCTGGCGGCATTCCAGGCGATCCTCCGATATTTAGAGGACCCGCAGGCGCCCCCACTCGGCTCCAGGCTGCTCGAGCAATACGAGCCAATCATCGCCGCCGCCCGACGTCTCTCTGCCCCTGGTAACACCAGGGCCACATAAGACGACGAGATAAAAGACCATACAGCAGAGCGCATAGGGCGCTCATTCATTTGGTCTGTAAATAAAGACGTTTGAAAGAAGAAAGGAAGGGCGGGGGGTATTGGCCTTAGAGCTTCCAGCCTTTTTTCCCTTTTTTCCTTATTTACTTGTTTTGCGATGTCTGGTGGGTAATCGTAGGGGTCCGTGGAATCGATGGAGTCTACCGCGGGAAGTTGACTAAGGGTGCTATAATGGTGTATGAGCGCCGCCTTCGCTTCCAGCCCCGCCCTGTCGTGGCCCTGGATCCCCGCATGCCCTGGGACCCACTCAAGCGTAAAGCTCGTGCCAGCTTTCTTGGCTTCATCGATGTATTTACTTGTTTCTTGCACCGTTTTCAGTGGTGTGGCTGGGCTCCTGTACTCCTGGATGGCTTCCCTCGAGTCCGAGAAAATGTAATATTTTCTTCCGGTGTTGCCTTGATGGTCCTTAATTGTCTTGGCTATCGCTTCTATCTCTGCGTCTCTGACGGTTGTCTTTTCAGGCAGAATTGCTCTGCCTGTTTTCTCCGTGGTGATGTTATACCAGGCACAGGCTGCACGGTTCTCCCTTGTAACAGTTGCGTCAGTGTATATCACTTCCTTGTTGTGGTCCTTAAGCGCTTGAATTCTATTTTGGTGCCTCGTGCTTGCTGTTTCCCTCCCTGCGTTGGGCGGCGGTTTTCCTTCTTGTGGCAGAGAGGTTTCCCACGGTGGTAGGGGTTCCTCGGGCTCCTCCATCTGCAGGTTGATTTTTCTAAGCTTGGTTAGGATGACCCTCCCTGCTTTTGTTCCGTGAAGCCTTATTATTTGCGAAACAGCGCCTTCCTTGGCAATGTCCTCGATGTCGTTGAGGAGCGCCCATTTCCTGACCTCTTCTAACCTTGCGTGGTTCGGGAGGCCCGTTACGACTCTTTGGGCTTTCCTCATCAGGCATTTGATTTTCTCCTGTTGTGTCTTAGTGAGTGTGGCGTAGTTGTACCCGTAGATTGCCTTAGACACTAAGAAGGCATGTATTAACGTTCTTAGTGTATTTTCGTTGGCACCCCATGATTTTGTAGCCGTTCTTCTGATGATTCCAAGGATATGTGTCCAGCTTTTTCGTAGACCTTCTAGCCACTCCTTCGCTTTTCCGTCTTGGCTGATGTTCATGCCGAGGATTTTTGTCGAGCTGGTTGGTTCTAGCTGTCTTCCTGCGGAGGTGAACTTGCGTTTGCTTGCTGTTGCCTTCCTTCCTTCTGGTGTCGCGATGATGACCAAGGCTGTCTTCTCTGGAGCAACTTGTAGCCCGACTTCTTCTGCGAAGTCGTCTATTGCTCTCAGTGCCTCTTTAATCGCCTTGATTTGTTTTCCAGTCTGCCCTCCCTTGGTCCATATTGTTACATCGTCTGCGTAAATTGTGAATGATAAGTTTGGGATCTTTTCTAGTTTTTTTGCCAGTGCAGTCATCGTTATGTTGAATAGGGTCGGAGAGAGTATTGCTCCTTGGGGGACTCCTATCCTATTGTATTGAATCAGTCCCTCTGTTTCCCCTACCTTAACTTTATATGTGCGTTCTTCGAGGAAATCTTGAATGAAGCGGAGCATGTTGCCTTCGATTCCATTTTCTTTCGCGCTGGCTATGACAGATTTGTGTGGGATTGAGTCGAACGCTTTCCTGATGTCGACGGCCACTAAGAATTTTGGTACTTTGGTAACCTTTCTGCTTGTCAGGTCGTAGTGAAGCATTGCTAGGCTATCTTGTGTGCACAACCCTTTTCTGAACCCTGTCTGCATCGGGTGTAGGCTGTTTCTGCTTTCTAGTGTCCAGTTTATTCTTTCCAGAACCATTCTTTCCATAGTCTTACATATGTTCGAAGTTAGCGAGATTGGTCTAAGATTCGCCATCTTATCTTTGGGCTTGTTTGGTTTTGGAATTGGGATGACCGTTGAATGCTTCCAACCCTGTGGTAGAGTGTGTTCTTCCCATATCCTGTTGTAGTGGTCAAGGAGAGCATGTTTTCCCTCATCCGGTAGGTTCTTCAACATGGCAGGCGTAACGCCATCCTCCCCGGGTGCAGTGCCCTTTTTCGCCCTACTGATGGCGTAGTTTAGCTCTTCTATACTGAACTTGACGTCTTGTTCTTTTCTTTCTTCCGTGTGTTCTATTAGAAGAGGTGTCCAGTCGTCGGGTTGAGGGAAGAAGGTCTCTCCGAGCTTTTGCGCCAGCTCTTCTTCCGACATGTTTAGTTTCAGTGCGAGGTTGCGACCCGTGTTCTTTTCCTTTTTCTTCCCCAGCATGGCTCTATATGTGTTCCAGAGCTTCTTGACGCGGGTGCGGTCGTTAAACCCTTCGCAGTGCTGTATCCATGTCTGCTTTCTCAGTTTTCTTGTGTAAGCCGTCACCTCTTGTGTGGCTCTGTTAAGGACTATTCTCCTGCTGGTGTCTGTCTTCTTCCTTCTGTACTTCAGCAGTGCCTTGTGTCTCGCTTCTTGGAGATTTGTCAAATGGTGGTCCGGGTTAGGGGCGTCTGCGTCCACCTTTGTTGTCGTGGTGGCTTCTTGTGCGGCTTTCTTTATGTGTTTCTCTATATCTGTTGGGCCTTCTACTTGAATCTTCTTCTTCAAGATCTCTCTGAACTTGTCCCAATTGGTGACCCGGGCCGTTCGTTTCTCTCTGGTCTTTCTGTCAAGAGTGATGATTATCGGAACATGGTCGCTACCCCATGTATCGTCGTGGGCCTCCCAGTCGACTTCGGGTACTCCCCTCGATCATGAGCTGTCCGGGGTTGTGTCCTTCTGGTTCTTGTTCCCTAATCGTGTGTTTCCTCCTGGCTTGTTGAGGCATTCGAAGGAGTTCTCGTGCATTTGGTGAAGCAGGTTCATCCCTTTTCTGTTGTCTTGGTTTCCCCATACGCTGTGTTCTGCATTGAAGTCTCCCCCAACAATGCTCTTATGCTGGGTTATGTTCTGTATCCGTTTAATCCATCTGTAGTGTTCATCTCCTTTCCCCGGCTTCTGGTAAAAGGAGAAGAAAGAGTAGGTTTTTTTACCGATTGTGGTTGTGGCTCCTACCAATTCTTCGTCCTCATTGCAAGTAAAATCCGTGTTAATTTGGCTTTGAGGGTGTGTCTCCTTGATTAGTAGTACGGCGACCCCCTCTTTTTCCTGCTTGCTCGTGTTGGTGGTTACCGTCCTGTTCAGATATGTGTTGTAGCCCCCGACCTTCAGGTTAGCATGCCTCGTTTCTTGCAGGAGAAGAATGTCGGGGCTCTTGTCTCCCCATGTTTCTATTCTGGTTTTGAGTTCGTTAATTTTACCTTTAATTTCTCTGCAGTTCCATTGTAGTATCCAATACATTCTTTTTGGGGCTATGTCTCTTAGCTCAGGTTCCATATTCGTCTGAGAGAAGCTTGGTGAGTTGCCGCAATAATGCTATGAGAGGGTCTTTGATTTCCCCAACAGGTTTCTTTCTTGCTGCAGCTGCGTATGTTTTCTTTTCAGCACTGTTCGCTGGTTTTGCCGTTTCCGTGGGAGTTGCGCTTTTTCCTTTCTGTTCAGTGTTTTGCATGTAGGTGGGTTTGCCGTCCTTCGCGGGACTTTCATCGGGCAATCCCTGCTGAGCGCCAGGTGTCTCCCCTTGCAGTTCACGCATGTGGGATCCCCTCCACATGGCGCGTCTAGCCCGTTTGGGTGGGGTTTTCCGCACGTCTTACATACTTCTACCTTGCTTGTGCATGTTTCGGCCTTGTGGCCGATTCTATGGCAACGGTAGCAGACTACCGGCCTTGGCGTGTATGGGAAGACCTTTTGAATTATAAGTCCAACCGCTAGCTTCTTTGGTGGTTCCTTCCCTTCAAACGTTAATAGGACTGTTGCTCTTTTCTTGCCAATTATGGTCGCTGAAATGACCTGATGCGTCTTGCATATGATTTATTCGCAGAGGGCTTCCATATCGTTCCCCGGGTTTCTCAGGTATATGACCCCTCTCGAGTGGTTGCTTGCGAGGCCTGGTATCACTTTGATTTCCGTGCTTTCGCCTCTTTCATTCGTAAACTTCTTCAGGTTACAAAGCCTTTCATATTCCACCTCGTTCTTTGTGGTGACAATGTAGTCGTTGGTTCTCGGGTCAATCCTTACTCTTGCTCCGTTTTCAAGCGAGATTCCCGCTTTCTTCATGGTCTGGTTGAAAGTTCGGTGATCTATGTCCAGCTTCGTGTTAGGCTTGTCGTTCTCGAGTCTGACCTTGCGCACGCCCGCGTTGTTCCCGCGGCGGGCCTCTATCCATTGTCCTTCCTTTTCTTCGTCTTGTTCGTTGTCCGGCTCCATGGGTGGCTCTGTTAGGGCCACTGTTTCGTCTACGTGCTGGAGTTCCTCCGTCCTTGGCCTTTTTCTGTCTGTCTTGTGTGGGTCGAGTCGTTCCCTCATTTCTTTTTCGAACTGCGTTCTAAGCTGAGTTTCCTGGGCTTTCAGTTGTAACTCAATCCGAGCTTGAAACTGAGCTTGTTGTGCTTCCATTTGCGCCTTCATCTGAGATTCCACCGAAGCCTTAACTTGGGCTCCAAAGTCATTCAGTAACGTATCCCAATTGTAAAACGTTTCGCCCGTCGCGCTGACTATTTTGTATTGTTCTGTGTTGAATCCACTCGGACCGAAGTTACTTGCTTGGGTCATTTCTGCCGATCTGCTGCCTTGGGTGGCTGCTCGCAGCACTTGGCGGCGCCACGAAGTCCGCCACGTAAACGGAGAGTCGTCTCGTTGGTGTCTCCCGATTGTGTTCCACTAAGGCCTAAGGTATTCCTCGGGGGCTTAGAAAGATGTCTTTCATCTTGTCCGACTTACAGGTCCTCACCGTGGTCTTCGTTCCTGGCCCTGGAGCGAAGGCCCGAAGCAAGTGGCTCGGACCCGTCCGTCAAAGTGATTAAACCTTAAGGTTTACCGAAGACTTAGCGGAGCTTAGAAAAACACGTCTGGTAGCTTGGGTAGCTTCGTCTTCCTCAGTAGCGCTGCTCACGTGTCTTCAGCTACTTATCGTCTGCCATGAGCAACAGTTTTGACGGTGCGATACAAAGCTGGTAAACGCTCCCGTCAGCACGCGCTTAGCGCGAGGTTAGCGCTATGCTTGCAGCGCTCCGCTGCATGTGTGAACAGGCCTTTATGGTGCCTGGAACGCGCCTCCGACTGGTGTGTTTGCCGCGGCGAAAAAAGCGGTCCCTCGATTTCCGCCTGATGATGTCATAGAAGTGTCATGCTGTCGCCGGTCGCGATCCTTTCGGTGCTCCAGCAGCTGCGGTGTATTTGGCAGACGCCTATTCTGCTGCAGGTCGCTCTTCACTTCGACTGTCCACGGAAGCTACTGCAGCAGGAAGTTGGAACGCCTGAGACGCCGTGACCAGAGCGACACTCGCGTTCGCTCATGCTTTTCGCCAGGACTTCTACGGCCAACCGCCAGGGTCGCAACAGGCTTCTCCGGCTTTTGTGACGTCATTTGTTGCCACTTTGGGACCACTTTTGATGTATGGGCGGGATAGGACGCTAAACACACCGTCGGAGACGCGATCCAGGCACCATACAGGGTGAAACAAGGAGACGGTAGGCTCCTTAAATGGACCGAAAAATTCGGTTTCTTAACCTATCGCGCTACGACTTTGTGCAGCGTTGCCCACAGATGGTGCATTTTTTTTTTGTAAAATTTGCAAAGAGCGATCTTACCTGAGGAAAAAGTAAAGAAAGAAAAAGGCTTAGCTCCTATGGAAACACAGCGAAGCTACCGGTCTTCAAACAACACGGCGCCGTTTCGCACGGGACACAAGAGATGGCGCAACGAACGCCGCCAACGAACGAGCATACGGCGCCGAGAGCCGGCGTATTTAGCAGACAAGGAACTGCAGTTCCTCGTTGTTCCCGCGCCTGTTTTTGTTTCTGCGACTGTCGCCGCCTGCAGAACGCACGTCGCTTTTGAGTCGAAAAGATTGTCTGCTAAAGACGCTGGCTCTCGGCGCCGTATGCTCGTTCGTTGGCGGCGTTCGTTACGCCATCTCTTGTGTCCCGTGCGAAACGGCGCCGTGTTGTTTGAAGACCGGTGGCGTCGCTGAGTTTCTATAGGAGCTAAGCCTTTTTCTTTCTTTACTTTTTCCTCAGGTAAGTTCGCTCTTTGCAAATTTTACAAAAAAAAAAAAAAAATGCACCATCTGTGGGCAACGCTGCACGAAGTCGTAGCGCGATAGGTTAAGAAACCGAATTTTCCGGTCGATTTAAAGAGCCTACTGTCTCCTTGTTTCACCCAGTAGTTTTGTCAAAACATGGCGTACGGCTCGTTCCTCGCGGCGAAGGTTTAACATTGTGGTGCAGAAACCAGGGATGACAACGATATAGTCACGACGGAATGACGACGGGGCATCCACCCGCAACAAAACGAGCCAAGGGACGCCGCAAGAGAACGAGCCCCAACGACAGTACCGACGTTATCACTCGACGAGTCCTAGTGACGTTGCAACGAAACGCGCCAAGAAAACGCTCCAAGGGACGCCGCAAGAGAACGAGCTCCAACGACGCTACCGACGTTATCACTCAACGAACCAAGGGACGCCGCAAGAAAGCGGGTTCCAGCGACGCTACCAACATTATCACTCAACAAAGCCTAGTGACGCCGGAACGAAGCGAGTCAAGGGACGCCGCAAGAGAGCGAGCTCGAACGACGCTACCGACGTTATCGCTCAACGAGGCCTAGTGACGCCGCAACGCCAGCAACGCCGTGAGACCCAGAGACGCCATGGAACGACTAAAGCAGAAGCGGACGGCTCTGAGGTCTCAAGTAACGAGACTGATCTCCGACATCGACGCAGCTATCGCAAGCCACTCCGACGAGCGAAGCCTCAACGTATTATCGGTGAGGCTCAGTGAGTTGCGAATACAGCCGAGCAACGTGAACGCATCCATCGAACCACTGGTACCTGATGGAGACGTTGAGCAAAACTACGCCCGCACGATTGAATATGACGACAAGACCGTCCCGTACATCGCCGCCATCGCACAGGAGGTAGAGGAACTCTGACGAGCGAGGCCCCAAGCAGGTACAACGCGGATTCACAACGACGGCGACGGACACGTTGCAACCTCTAAGGTGAAGCTGCTGAGACTGGAGCTTCAACGGTTTGGCGGTGCAGCTACCGATTGGCAACCCTTCTGTGAACAGTACAAGCAAGACATACATGAAAACGACAGCCTTTATAACGCTGAGAAGTTTTTGTACCTGCGGTCGGCGCTTACGGGAAAGGCAGCATCAGCGATAGCCGGCATTCAAGCAGCGGGAGAAAACTACGATACCGTCGTTGAGCTTCTCAGGAAGCGCTTCGGTCGGACTGACGTTCTCATTCAAGAAGACCTCTCCCAACTACTTGATTTGCCAGCAGTACGACACTCGAGCGAGGTGAGCGGACGGCGACGTCTCTATGACCACTTGCAACGTAATATGGCCGCTCTCACCGCGCTCGGGGTTAAGAGCGACACTTACGAAGCTATGCTCTGCTCTGCACAACTGAGAATGCTGCCAGGAGAGTTAGTCATTGGCTACCACAAGTGTCGACGTCCTACGGACAAGGAAAACGACGGTATAAAAATAGAAAGCCTACAATGCTTTCTGAAGCTCGAAGTGGAGAGCCGTGAAGAGGCTCAACAAGTTCGTCAGCGAGAAGCCATACAGAGAAGTATGAGCCATACCAAGATAACAGAAGGCGGAAAGGTTCTCTCAAGGGATCAGCGGCTTCTCTTTCCTCAACTAGTCGCTCCAAGGAGACTGAACCGTGCGCATTCTGTGCCACGAAGAACCATGCTACACGAGATTGTCAGACATAAATTTCTCTGGAGGAGAAGAAGAGAAGATTTTGAGAAGCAGGACAATGTTTCCGGTGTTCGATCAAGGGACACACCTCCAAAGAATGTCGCAACAAAAGAATCATGTGTGAAACATGCGGGCGAAGGCACATAACTCAAATGTGTGACCCATCCTGGAAGGAAAATTAGAACACCCCAGCAGAGTTACACTCTTCGATTGGCAGGAAGAGCGATAAAACACCTTCTTTACTACTTCAAATAGCTCAGGTCTGGGCAGAAGGGAAACAGCAAAGAGCTCTCACGCGGATCCTTTTTGATGGAGGAAGCCAACGAACCTTTGTGATAGAAGAACTTTCACGTATGCTGCGACTCGAGGTTGTTGGTGACGGAGACATTAATATCTGCCCTTTTGGAGGAGCAGGAAACATCATCAAGGAAAAACGCAGAAGGGTACGAGTCTGGCTAAGGAGCCAGTACAGTCAAAAGAAGCACTGTATAGAAGCTCTGGAGATACCAGAGATTTGCTC